AGCATTTAAATAAATGATTACTTGTAGTATCCAGCAAAATGATCTATCTAACACCACTAGTACTAAAACCGTCTGATACTACGAGTACTTAATAGACATGGGACAAAATCACAGTCAACTATGAATTATCATTAGAATTTTTAGAATGAAGGTTGGGGTTGCTACTTGCTTATAAGCTGTTTTCAGACGATGCATAAAGACAATATTTTCTCTATTTAACAGTAAAAATAGTATTTTTTAAATTATTATGTAGGGAATAGTAGTTATATAATTATAATAAAGTAATTACTATGTTTTACTGTTAAATACGTGAAATAGGGTCTTTATGCATCGTCTGAAAACAGCTTATGGGCAACAGCGCGTGCGCAGGAAGTAACCCTAAGCTACGTGCGAAAAAATTGTATTTTAAATGACCGTTCATTCACAGTTCACAGTACGTAGTATCAGACGGTATTAGCACTAGTGGTGTTAGATAGATCATTTTGCTGGATAAAAAAAAAGTGATTCATTTATTTAAATGATGACTTGTGGTGTCCAGCAAAATGATATTATGGCGCCCTGAGCGCTTGTAAGACAGTGTAAGTATGAGTAGGTACTAAGAGAAATTTGTAAACCTATTCGTGAAATCAATAATATTATAATTATTTAAACTACTTGACGTTGATATTTCAATTTTGTCATCTTCAAATTAATATTCAATCATAACACTACATATTCTAAAGAATTACAAGAATTGATTGATTTATATTTCAAATGCCAACAGAAATCAATTGACAGACGTAAGAAATTTTGCGTAAATGATGTGTTAATAGAGGAGAATGAAGTATTCGTATTCTCAGTTCTGTGAAGTGAAGTGTTGGACAAATGGCGTGGCGGTGACCATGGATAATAATTTGCAAGTAAACAGCTGTGTCAGCCTTAATTTTATTTATTTATTTCATTTATTTTTATGTTAGAGGGGGCAGACGAGCAGACGGGTCACCTGATGGAAAGTCACCATCGCCGCCCATGAATGTCTGCAGCTCAGGAGTCACAAACGCGTTGCCGGCCTTTTAGGAAGGAGTACGCTCTTTTCTTAAAGGTTTGAATAATGGTATTCTAGAATTATGTGTATACACAGTTTTGTTAAAGATAAATTTATTTGTTAGATCATAGTACATTAGGTGTTATATTTTATTTATTCGTTTCTTACGTTCTACCATTTCTGTTGTATCTGCAAATATTTTTATTTAGGTGCTTTAATAGTTATAAGAATACGGAAAATCAACACCCCTATTCATCCCGTGGGTATCGTAAGAGCCGACTAAGGGAACAAACTACGCAGGACAACAGCACAGCAAAGAGAAGGAAAACTTGCAACAAACCCTTTTTTTTGTGCCACTCTGCGCCTGTAATAGGAGGGATCCGGGAACAGCTGTTATTAAGACATCCGGACCCCTCCTAGCGCCTGCCCGCTCCTGCTGCGGGCTCCGTCTCAAAATTTTAACCTCTCTTTAGGCGAACTTGCAACAAACCCTTTTTTTTTTTTTTTTTTTTTAACGTGTGGAAATCCCCTCGGACCGTCACCCCTCCGGGGTTTGCGGCGGGGTGGTGTGTCGGACTCGGACCGACTAAAACCACACGGTGTGCCACTCTGCGCCTGTAACAGGAGGGATCCGGGAACAGCTGTTGTTAAGACATCCGGACCCCTCCTAGCGCCAGCCCGCTCCTGGTGCGGGCTCCGTCTCGATGTTTTTCCTCTCTTTATAGGCGACGTCCGGCACACGCGGACGCCGCCCCCTCGCGGCTGGCCAAACTAATGCGGGTGGAGGGGAAACCCACCCCGTCCACCCGCGGCCACACTCAGGGCGGCATGAGGCTGTGGTAGACGGGCCTCCGCCGCCCGGTTCGCCGGCGGCGGATCGGGTCCGAGTGGAGGTCGTCCTCCCGGGCCCTCTCCGCCGCCTCCTTCCGCGAGATTACTACCTCGCAGAAGGTTGCGACCGCGGTAAAACAACTGTCGCTACCGGCCATGGAGCGTACTACGGCCGGTAGCGAGAGATCCACTCCGATGACTGCAGTGAGGGCCCGGCGCTGCGCCGCCCATGCGGGGCAGACCGCCAGCGTGTGCTGGGCCGAGTCCTCACTGCAGTCGCAGTGGTGGCAGGCGGGACTCAGTTCCCTCCTAGCGACCGTGTGCAGGTACTTTCCGAAGCAACCGTGCCCGGAAAGCACCTGCGTCAGTCGGAAGGAAAGGGTCCCGTGCTGCCGCCCTGCCCACTCGGCGATGACCGGCTGGAGAGCCTCCACGGCGGCGAAGCCAGCGCGTGGAGTCTCCAGCCGGAACGACCAACGAGCCATCGTGGCTCGGCGAGCGGCTTCGCGCCACTCGCGCACATCCTCGGGCGGAGGGCGAAATCCGCTCTCCGCCCGGTAGTCAGCCACTCGCCGATAAACTTCGGCGAGCACTTCCGCCTCCAAATCCCACGGGGGAGTTCCGGCCAACGCGCACGCCACCTCCGTCGAAACGGTGCGGTAACCGCGTATGGCTCTGACCGCCATTACCCTCTGAGGGCGCCAGAGGCGTACCCTATTCTGGGCGGTCAGAGCCGCCGCCCACACCGGTGCACCGTACAGTGCCATTGACCGGACAACCCCCGTGTACAGCCGTCTTGTCGCGACGCTGGGTCCACCCATATTGGGCAAAAGTCGCCCTAGGGCAGACGCAGCGCCGACCAGCTTTGGAGCAAGCTGTCGGAAGTGCTCGTCGAAGAGCCACCTCCCGTCGAGGATCAGGCCCAGATATTTCATCTGGGCCCGAACCGGTACGAGGACCGAATTGACCACTATTGAGGCGCCAGGGGGTGGACCACGACGGGGCCCATGGAATAACAGGGCCTCCGTCTTATCTAGGGCCACCCGTAAGCCCAGCGCCTCAATGCGCCCGACCACCAGGGAGACTCCCCCTGTGGCCAGGCGCGCCGCCTCTTGGAAGTTTGCCCCCCGGGCTGTCACGAGGGTATCGTCTGCGTAACAGATTACACCCAGCCCGGGGGGGAAATCGGCGCGAAGGGCCCAGTCGTACCCTATGTTCCACAAGAGGGGTCCAAGAACAGACCCCTGTGGAACACCGCACGACATGGGCCGACACCTCAGATTACCTTCTCGGTCCTCGTAAAACCCTATATCAACCCGTCTGGCCAGCGTGGTATAGTAGGCCAAAACCTCCTTTCTAAGGAGAGGCCTATGTCCAGCAGTGGATTATTAAAGGCTGTTGATGAATAGTTATGATTGAAATACAAAAATAAATGAATTTAATGTAATAAAATACAACAAATTAAGTAGAATTTTGAGAGTAATTAGAATACAATAAATTAATTAACATACATACATAATAGTAGAATGTATTAACATCCACAAAATACATTTGAACGATTTTAAACGTGTTAAACTTGAGAACTGCCCGACAACTGCCAATTTAAGTTACAAGTGTTAAGCAGCTTTTTCTTTGATTTTCACTGAGTGACCCTTCCATCTCTCCCGTCCTTACCATCAGGTGACCAAAAAAATATATGTGTAGAACTGATCTGCTGAAGCAGTTAATAATATTTGGGACATATAATAACATTTGGGACATCTGACACAACGCCATCTAGTTTCAAACTAAGCAGAGCTTGTACTATGAAAACTAGATTGACTGATAGAATACCTATATAGGTACTTTTTTTGTAAATACATACATATATTAGACATAGAAAACACCGAAAACAAACATTAGCAGATCATACAAACATTTGGTCCGACCCGGGTATTGAAACCGAGACCTCAGCACAGCAGTCGCATTCGCTACCACTGCATCACCGAGGCAGTTGCTTATACTTACTAATCCATTTGTATAAACAATACATCTTCCCTTCTCTTCTTTGATTCCTTATATTACTTACGTTTTCAATATACTCCTAGTTAACCCATCTTTCCGTGTGGTGACGGATTAAGAATACGGAGTGTCACCACCCTTATTCATCCCGTGGGTGTCATAAAACCCGACTAAGGTAGAAAAACTACTCAGAACAAGAGCACTGCTAGCAGAAAAAATACTTGAAACATACCCTGTACCTACCCGCCTGACCAGCGTGGTACAGTAGGCCAAAATTCCCTTTCGAAGGAGATGTCTATGTCCAGCAGTGGTGTAATAAAGGCTGTTGATGAGGATGATATCCCATCTTTAATGCCTTAAATGCCCTTGCCTGTTTACAGAGTGGGTCACGTGAAATTATAGTTGTCAAAAGTATGGGTAAATACGTGTCTGTTCATCTTTTTGAGGACTCATATATTAATATTATTACCGTTACTAGGAGAGTAACTGTTATAGATGATAAAGAAAGTGGATAGGACTAGTTTTTTTCGCGAACACAGCTGTAACTCTGACCTTGACCGTGATTCCCACTCATATCGAATCATTTGTACACAACGTAATCATAATCATTCGAATTAATTATTTAATCATTAATAATAATTCCAAATAAGGTGGGATTTGTGTTATATATTTATTATTATAATAGACATACTATTATATTACTAAATACACGCATATAATATATATAATTACACCCTGACAACAAAAACCAAAACATCGTGCCCAATTATTTATTCTAAGTGGGTAACGAATCGACGACGTCTGACTTAGCAGTTAGGATTACGAACCACTAAGCCAACACATTCGTCATAATTTTAATTAACTGTGCAATAAAATAATCCTAGCCATTTAAGTTTTCATTAAAATAAAATTCATATTTACTTAAGCATAGTACATTAAGGAACTAATTAATTACCCAGTGCAGCTCTAATTCTCTTAATGTGCAGAAAACATCAGCACACTGCAGTACGTTTAAAATTTAATAACCAACATCTCCCTCAGTTAAATACCTAAAGCAACGCATTACTTAACCAGTAAAATTATATACATTGTGCCGACCGCACGTGAGAACCGCGGTCAGTGGTGCGTTAAAGTTCGCGGCAAAATGTTGGCCTTTTTAATACTCGCCTTTGTAGGCACCGTCACAACTCGGTCCGCACCGTCTGTAGACTTTACACCAGTGAATCAATTTACCTTACAATTGTTAGAAAATATTCACGCATATGAAGAGAATTTCGGAAATAAAAATATTGCAATATCCCCAGTGTCGATTTGGAGTATATTTGCTCTTCTCGCAGAAGGATCTACGGGTGATACGTTCGCAGAATTAGTGACAGCTCTAAGATTGCCGAAAGATTTAAGAAAAACACAGTGTCTTCATACCGCCGCTAAAAGTGTTCTGAGGTCAGACAATGAAGGTGTAACTTTTAAAGGACAATCTTATATGTTTACTGAGTGTTCGACCAAAGTACACGATGAATTCTGTGAGGCAGCGTTGTTGTACGGTATGTCAATTTATGCATCAGAGACGACAAACACAACAGAATTGGCTCAAGATATTAACGTTCATATTTGTTACGCTACCGATGGAAGGATTCTAAACGCAATCAAACCAGCAGATTTAGAAAATCTACGAATGGTTCTTATCGATGCCCTATACTTTAAAGCCAACTGGACCCATCCTTTTGACCCTATACAGACAAAAGAGGAACCCTTTTACAACTCCCAAGGGAAGACTATTGGATCTGTCAATATGATGTACCATAAAGCCCCCCATTACTCAGGAGACTCTGAAGAAATTGGTGCCCAAATACTGGAAATGACTTACGGTAACAATGAAGAATTTTCAATGATGTTACTGGTTCCCCACGAAGGCATCTCAATAAAAACACTTCTCAACAATTTGGCAACAAAATCACAGAACTGGATGACAGATTTTAGAGTAGCGGGCAGCTTACCGCCAATTGATACTTATGTACCACGTTTCAAACTGACATCGAAGCTGGACTTAATTCCTCCAATGCGCTACACCGGTATACTTTCAATATTTGATAAACAGAAGGCTAAGTTACCTGGTGTAGCAGATAATCCTCTGTTTGTGTCTGCTTCTGTTCAGAACGTTGACATAGAAGTAAATGAAGAAGGAACTGTGGCCGCTGCCGCAACGGTAGTAGGATTAGAAGACAGGATACTAGGACGTCGGTTTGAAGCAAATAAAGAATTTGTATTTTTAATTGTGCAAAGAAGTTGCAACTTAATTTTATTTGCAGGAATTTACGGAGAACCTTCAGTTGTGTGATATAAATTGCTTAGTATGTAAGTTCAAGGAATCATTAAACTTTAGTGGTGATGAAAGTGATAAAAACATTTATGGTGGAAATACCATTCCATGTTTAACGTTGTGAAACGAAGTAAACAAACTGTAACTTTATGTAAATCATCCATATTCACAATACTGAAATTATGTTACATTAAAACATACTTTTATACAATTTGTAAATTACAAAAAATTGTAAATTGTTTTGGTTACGCTTCGATAAAAGACTCCGTTTATGTTTTAAAATAATAATAATAACTTGACTTATCTCACTCACCGCTGTCTTAATCCCAAATTAGGTCAGACCTATACTATGGAGTACTATGGAGTACTTTAGTGGAGACCGTGTCTCGGCAAAGGTAGTGTAGGACGCCCACAGGCCAGGTAGAGTGACGATTTGCGCAAGATGGCTAGCAGGAGCTGGATGCGAGAAGCCCAAAATCGATCTAAGTGGCGTGCAATGGAAGAGGCCTATGTCCAGCAGTGGACTGCGATAGGCTGATGATGATGTACTATGGTAATTATTATTAGCCTACTGATGAACATACTTATATATTTCTAAGTACATACATAAAATATTATATACAAATTACAATACAAAATAATGGTGCTCATCACACAAATTTTGGCTCTGGGTAGGAATTGTATCTACGACCCTCTGGCTTAGCAGTTAGGAACGACCACTAGACCACTAGACGATGTATGTGATGAAAACGTCAATTTTTCTGTGTCTGTAATTTATCAATGATATATCTATTTAAAATATACACGTATTTTTATCAGCAGTCTGGTTACCAATACTGGTACTGGTTACCTGGTATGTGAGTGAGATGCGTAAAGTTTACAAAAGTTTATTTTTTGTTGAAGTTGAGTCCTATTCGTTGTGTTTTAAAAAGCATTGTTTTCGGATTTAAGTTGTTTAAGGTTTCACGATGTTTAAGCCGCAACTATACAAAAATCATTTTTTATTTTATAAGACTATTGTACATATCAATATATGTATTTTATTTTATAGAGTATGTCTCTAGTTAAAATAAAATTTAAAAAACAGATTGTGTTCTCTCATAGGTGTGTCTACTCAATTTATTATTTAAGTTATAATAGTTTTTAGGTCGTGTATTTAAGGCTCGTTGAAACAGAATATCTTAATTTTTTTAACTTAATTTTTCCCTATGGTCATAATATATTCACAATTGAATATTAAGAATGTTATGCTAAAAGGCATGCATGTAATTCATATGTCTTGGAAGTCAATTAAAAGTATTCTATAAATAAGGGGTTTAAATTGTTATTTCTAAAATCAATAGAAGCCTTTTAATATGCCTACTGCCTAATCAATTATTATCAAACAATAAGTGACATTACATTCGGTCCAAGAGAATTTTCCTGCTTATAATAAATTTCGAACTGAACTTGCTTCTTAATAAGTGGGTGTGTATAAAACAAAAAGACTTACTCAATTTTCAAAATTAGAATATCTAAACGCATAAAGGTCTATTACCTTTTACAGTTGCGTTATTGTATCTGCTATCAAAACTATTAATCTTTAAATAAAGATTAAATTTATTTCGAAATAGGCGTGGGACTCAAATCGAATGATCCGCAGGTCAAATGTCCTAATAAACTAATTTAAAATATTTAGTAACGTTCAACGCTAAACATAACTTGAGAAATAAACATTCAAAATTTTAATAATTTACACAAGCCTATGTAAATCTGTGCCATGACTAGTGACGTCAGTCATTTTATAAATTCTAGTAAAAATAAAAAGTCCCTTTCCACCGTACGATTTCAAAAAGGCCGTGACATTTTCGTTTACGCATAATGTCGCCTGTCACGTAGTCTATGATATAAAAAGGCTTTCCTCATTAATTTTTACGACATTTAATTAAATTCACTGTTACTAATCAGGATTAATAGTAGACTAGTAAGATTACTAGCAATTTATTCGACATTTCAAGCTTCTAATTTATCAAATGTGACACAAAGTCACATATTTTACGGGATATACTTAGTAGAAACCAAATGTCTTAGTTTAGTTTGTTTATTAGATTCAATCCTTAGAAAGCAATCTGTTTAGAAGGTAATACATTAACTGTTATTTGGAAACTCTTGCCATTTTTAACAAAATCAACTTTAAAATAAAAAAAATCTAACAAAAATCCGGCAATCGGTTTAAATACACACGCTAATGATCCTTATTCTTCTCTCGATGTTCAACAATAACTAAATACTTAGGCACCGAGTGTAACCAACTGAAAAAGAATATTTTGCCATTGTTCTATATTTGTTTATCATCACATAAACAGTTTTTAATGGTCCACTGCTGGACATAGGGGTCTCCTTAGAAGGAAGATTTTGGCCTACTGTAGCACGCTGGCCAGACGGTTTGGTATAGGGTTTGTGTCAAGTTTTCCTTCTCTTTGCAGTGCATAAAATTGTTTTAACTTTAATTATAAAATCGTTTCAGAAACCATTATTAAGTAAAACTTTAATTAATTATAATTGTTTGTTATTAAGTTATTGAAGTACTTATATCTAAAATAATAGTTTTTATTGTTATTTTTTGTCAGGGACAATTCGTAATCACATAATACGTCTGAACGTTGAATAACAGTTAATGTATTACCTTCTAAACAGATTGCTTTCTAAGGATTGCATCTAACAATGTCTTAGTTTGATTTCTACTAAGTACATCCCGTAAAATATGTGACTTTGTCTCACATATGAAAAATGAGAAGCTTGAAATGTCGAATAAATTGCTAGTAATCTTACTAGTCTATTATTAATCCTGATTAGTAACACTAAATATAATTAAATGTCGTAAAAAATAATGAGGAAAGCCTATTCATATCATAAATGAACGTGGATCTGAAAAACCAGACCTTGTCATGCGAACTGTCTTAACGAGTAAAATTAACTTTAAAAAAATTACCATCAAATTTTATTAATTTTTAACTCCCGCGAAAGGAACATATTCCTATGTCGGGGGGGACTTTACAAACATACATGAAACGGATACAAAGAACACCCAGACTCAGAACAAAAATTTGAGGTTCACACAAAGTGTTTTCCCATGTGGGGATCGCACAACACTCAGCGCAGTAGGAAGCAGCGAGGTGACCTCGTCTACCAGCACGCCATCCGTGCAGTCGAAGTTCGAATTCAACCGAACTGTAATAAACTGTATTCATCATCCTTTAATTTCCCATTCTTAGGGGTTGCATTTTTACTTCAAATTTGTAAGGGACCAAACGGGAAGTGAAAACTCAATTTTAAATAACTGAGGTAAGAAACTTAAAAAAATCCTCCGGATTGAGAACCTCCATTATGAGTGTGTGTGTGTGTGTGTGTCAACATCCTTTTATTCTTAAAATATACATTAATAATATAATATTGAATAACTAATGAAACATTAAGATTAAAAAATTTAAAATTCAATTTATGAATTCAATAATACTTATCATAACGTCAGTTGATGCCCCTGTCCCAATGGCCTCTCCAACCATAGGATGGGTACGCGACCCCGGCCTCTTAGTCCCGTTTCACAATCCGAGACTTCTTCCCTTACCCTAGTTTCCTCGTCCTACCTGTTTGCATCTCCCCAATTTACCTTCTGTCCTTGACTTGCCAAAAAACGATTAAATTCCCAACTAGAGTTGGTGTCAGATAGGCGACCAGTAAGTGGCGTGCAATGGTAGATGCCTATGTCCAGCAGTGGACAGCGATAGGCTGATGATGATGATGATGTTGAGGCGACCAGCTTTAAAAGAATCCAGCCTTAACACGCTTACATATTGCGACGACTCCAAATAAATTTGGGGGAAAAAGCAGAATAAAGATGATAAAACTCCTCCACGGTGAAAACTCCTTTTATCGCTTTTTTTATGCTACAAGTAGTTAGAATTAAAAAAAAACTAACTGTTCAAAATATAAAATCTTATTAATATATCATAGACAAGGAAGTACAAGAGGAAGGATAGATAACAATTAAAAAAATCTACTGTCAACAGTGTCTATCACCGGATCTTAATTGAGTTGTCATATTTCATTGTATTTTGTATCTTCAAACGTACAATAGTGCTTCATAAGAGCGTTTGACCTCACCAAGTATACAGAGTGCCTGCACGGCTGTACTTGAGGTATTGTCGTATTTATTATATAGGTATGTTCTAGTGTTGATTTAAATGTGGATTAAGACGAAGAAATTACGTAAGTAAGTAGGTATGTTATGTAAATTGAGTTCAAACTTAGGTACTTATGCATATATATACTGAATTAGGTACTAAGATGTTTTATTATTATAACAAATATATGTAGACAAATAGTAATATTATTTTCTTACACAACAACAACATAGAGCTGTGTTTAAAAGATTTATCAGAAAATGTACGAAAGCTTTTAAAATGTATTTTTTAACTTTTTTTAAATGTTTGATTTAAATTGCGCGCCTATTTTTATTTAATGCCCTTTTTATAAAGAATACTTTTTTGGAGCATAATTCGTTCGTTAATTACAAATCCTTAACACCTAAATCCTTAACACTGTGTTTATCATGATATTGATAAAATTCCTCCTCAATAACTAATCAAATATCAATTATCTAAAATTTCTATATAATATAAGCTAATTAACAATTACTGTTTTATTTACTATCAAATACAATAGCAACAAAATATTTAAAAAAGTAAAAGCATTTTTAAGTAACACTCAAACATAAACTATCTTCCTACCTTAAGAAAATTACATGCCTTTTTTTTTTTTTTTTTTAACGTATGGAAATCCCCTCGGACCGTCACCCCTCCGGGGTTTGCGGCGGGGTGGTGTGTCGGACTCGGACCGACTAAAACCACACGGTGTGCCACTCTGCGCCTGTAACAGGAGGGATCCGGGAACAGCTGTTGTTAAGACATCCGGACCCCTCCTAGCGCCAGCCCGCTCCTGGTGCGGGCTCCGTCTCAATATATTTTCCTCTCTTTAGG